GGCGGGGGAAACCGAAAGCTCCAGAGAAACAAAGCTCACAGTGTGGAACTGCCCCGGGATTTGTGAGTGATAGCAAAATATTCGGAATGTCTCCGGCGTAGACAATTGCAAGGGTGCGGTTGGAAGTGGGTTGCTGTTTCGCATTGGGGCTTTAAAATCCAACTGGTATACTTCGCAGTGTTGTGACCAGAGGTCCTTACTTGGCACTTTGCCCCCCGTCCCCGTCCCCCAAACACTCAGCTGTTTCTGAGGTTTAGCCGATAATTTTTGAATGAGTTTCGTGTTTTCTGCTCCGACCTTTTCTTTAAGAGGAATTGCATATGGGGTACATGCATGGCACCTTTCATGGGCTTTGTCATTGCAGTTACGACATCTGAAGGACTACAGGACAGAAAGTGCCGTGCTAAGGAGTCATGCCGTGGAGATATGTTCACGGAAGTGACTGAAAGGATTTAGGGAGTGGAAAAAAGCATTCGAAAGTGTAGATACTCACCATTCGTCGTCGTTGACGGTCAGCACATGGGGCGCTTGGAAGATCGGTTCCGACGTCATCACGGGCAACGTCATCACTGGCATTCCTGTCGAACTCGGAGACACCTAAAGCTTCAAAGAACAAAAGTTCATTCTGTGGGACTTATCCACCTCAGTAAGCCTTGGGGAGCACTGGAATCCTCAAAAAAAAAACTTCAATTTTTCTTTGTATCGTAAAAACGAAATTGAAAGAATGTCTTTCTAAATTTTCCGATCTGCCCACAAAGTTGATAATCTATCGGTGTGAACAACAAACCCAAGTACCTCGGACTGTATGGGAACTGGTGTGAGCATAGCAGGTGTCTCGTTGACAGTGGGAAGGGTAGGCCGAGGTGAGTGCACTCTGAAATCCCATATAATGAGTGATTTCAATGCATGAATCCGGGAAAGTATGGCATCAGTACCCGTTGTGTTTAGCTCGTAACTGCTCGACGTTTTTGAAGAGCTTCCCTTTGAGAATGAGTTCACCAAAGCCTTGCGAATGGGAGAATGCGTAGCCGGAACGCAATGAGCCACGCACACTTCGTCGCGTCGCAGCAGACCGCTTGAACGCCGGCCTGGAATGGATTCAACTTCGAAATGCTCCCTGTCCTTCCACGATATGGATCTCACATTTCTTCCTGTTCCTTGGGCATTGGAATCTTCTTGCTGAGCTTCTTTCGTACACGAAGGCGATCTGCGAAGGATGGATGAGTATCAAACCAGAAGAACCGGTTCAACAACACCGGCAGCAGGAGAATCACCGTCACCTGGGATTGGAATTGTAAGTAAGAGAAACTCGCAAATTGCCTTAGCCCCTCCCTTCATCAAATAAATTGCACACAACACTCACCATAAGTATGGAAAACCAGAATTGAGGGGTGGACATTGTCTTGAAGACTACGCCATAGGAGACGGCCGATGAGGTCTTCGCAAGCAACGTCAAGGGGAGAGCTGGAAAAGGATGGTGTGAGTCAATACAAGAGGATCGTGTGGTACGGATGGAGTTCTGCTTTGTAAATTGGCTGTTATTCGTGGTAAAAGGGTAAGGGAAAAGGTCTTTAGCGTTAATCATTCCCGTCCAAGGGTTGGCCTAGGCGGATATCGATCCGGATTTCGAGTACATGACCATGCCTACGTGATAGTGCGTCACTGCCACTACACCACCTTCCCCCGATTTTTTTGATAGATTTTTAAACTGTGAGCTTAAGCAGATCGTCGCTACTTATCACAGTTCATGTATCATTCTCCAGTTACAAATAGATCCCACAAAAAAGTCGCGCTTACAGCTTCCGTCAATCGAAAGCTCTCACTAAACTTTTTCTATACCTCTAAAAAAATATGAGCAGAACAGAGTGGATACCTTCATAAATGAGAATAGCGAGTAGGAAGTAGAAAATGAGCGATCCCCAAATAACAAAATGGTTGATTGCAGTCCAGTAGACAGTGTCAAAGGCAATCTGTCCCGTGACGACGACGATCAGCGCTGTGAAAGTGGTGAACGCTAGCGTCGAATAGCCGTCCAAATCCTTGCCGTTGTAAGCCGCACCATTCAGGAGGGTTCCATATGGAATGAAGAAAATAACCAACGAGCTGGAAGAGTAAAGGAATTCTAACAAGACTCGCTCTACTGCTGATTGGTGGCATTTTAATCACCTACCTGAACATACCATGTAGAACAGAATAGATGAAAATTCGCATATTGAAGAAAAGATTGAATTGACCGGGCAAATAAAGCTTTGGATACCTGCGAAGCAGCTTTCAGAGATGGTGCTGATACAATGACAACGATATGAGCTTACCGCAAGCTGTACGTGTCGTCAACGTCCTGATCGAGGGCACCCATTGCCAGCACAGGTAATGCGGTGAAGAAGAGGTTATAGCAAGCAATGAACACTGCGTCGAAGACCGTCTACAAAACAGCTTTCAGTTGAAAATGAGAAGCGAATCTCAGACATATAACTGAGTTCAGCAAGTACAGATAAAAAGATCCTTGCTTTCCTTCTCTTTTCTTCCTCATTCCTGTTCCTATCCATGGTAATCTCGGCTGAATGCTCATCTGCGGACAGAGAACTCGGTCTTTCATAACATCCAATACACACTCTCATACTCTATCACTTCTTTTGAATCGCCGGCAATTTTCGAACTGGCTTTTCCGTATTTTCCAAAAGAAAATCTGTTCTCCCCAGCAGTCACCCCCAGCTACATAGCCTCAATCAATCCGGAAATGTACTTGCCATCCAGAGCTCGGAATGGAGAAGAGCCTTCCTGCAGACTTACAAGGGAAGGATCCCAACTCGAAGTGGCCATTTGAAATGAGACCTATACTGCTAGGTGTATTTTTTGACGCTGATTTCAAATCTGCATTCAAAATCTGCCAAACGATTCTCTGAACGAAATTATGGAGGTGGTCTCCAGAGAGCGCTCAACATGGGAAAGCACAAAAGCCTTGGTCGCCGGAAGCCCAGCAGTGGCGGCTTGGAGTGGAGGTAAACGT